GCTAATTAGACAACTCATGATTATATAATGATTATCTATTTTTGACTTTTTAACTATATAATTATTATTTGTTATAGTTAACCTATATCATGACATAAAGTATTTGACAACTGAGCGTTCTATAAAAATTAAGCTCTAATAAAATGATATCTCCAATGGTAAACTCTTTCAATAGTTTTTTTTCTTAAATTTTACTAAGTTATTATCATTTGTCTAAAGTATTCTATAAAAAACTCTCTCATTTAGTTAATCATTTTTAAACATACATCATACCTAAAATGTCACAACAAATGAAATATTTATATAACCGTTATGAAATTTATACTTCATAAATAAAATATAATTAAATATTTAATAAAAATAATTAATTAGTAAAGAAATAATAATAAACTAAAAACTAAAATATAGTTATGAGGATGAAATGATATATAACTAAAGAATGAGAGTTTAGATGTACACAACTTTAAATTATATTAACCATTCTATATATATTGAGTTGTCCATGAAAAAAACAAAAAAACTATTTGCTCCAATGATAATTGTTCAAAATAAAAAAACTAATAGTAATAAACTTTAAAAAAAACTTTTATCGAAGATGTTCTTATTTCCAACTATCCATTTCTATTAACTTTTTATTTTAAATGATATTTTATTATTTGTTATTTCCAACTATACATTTTTATTAACTTTTTTTAAATGATATTTTATTATTTGTTATTTCCAACTATTCATTTTTATTAACTTTTTATTTTAAATGATATTTTATAATAAATATTAACAAACATATATTTTTATCTTATCTACATTGACTTTTTTTTTACAATAACATTTTTTTTTTTGTTTTTTTAACTTAAGTGTCTCACATGCATTAATTCAACAATCAAACGCTTACTTTTGTTTAGATTATTAGAAACAACGATTACATTATAAGTTTAATTGAGACAAAAAAAAAGTTACATAATTTTTATATTATCTAATAATTAAAAATAAATAAAGACATAAACACAAAAAAGTGAGACAAAATTTAATCAGCTAATTTAACAATTCTCTAAATACGTTTTTTAACAATCATTTATAATTATAAACCCATGATTACAAGGTTTCAGTTAAAAATATTTTATTGCTAATTTTAATTTTTATACATAAGAGTAAGATTTAATTCATATGATATCATTATATACTAAATAAGATATAAAATATAATAATACATTATTCTTTTACTGCAAACTAGGGAAGGATCCCCGCTTTGCAGAGATTAGAAAGTGTTCGGTTGTAAAACATAGCAGTCATGGAGTTCTAGACTGTTATCAACCACCAATCAATTATAGAACTCATAGAACTCATGCTAGGTTCATTTCTATAAGGGAAAAATTGTCTAAGAATGTAACATACCCACACAACTCATTAGAAGCATATCCTCTTTATTCAAAAGCTGAATATCAAAATATCAACCCTAAATAAAATAAAACACCAGCAAAAACACGAAAAAACAAAAGAATAGTGAACCCTTGTATAATGCCAAAACGATTTCAAGCTTTAAGGAGCCACCTCGGTTTCACTTGAATGGAGGCTTGGATTTTGATTTTGTGTAGATATCGAAAGCAAGAAACTCAACCATATCTGAAAAATAACCAAGAAGATCGTTAGTGTTTTGGATCCAATGAAGAAACAAATTCAAATATTAAGATTTTAATAAACAATTTAATTACACTACTATCTTTTGGTTTTGTTTCAACAAATTACACAACCTAAAAAACCTCCATTATAGCAGAGTTAAAATTCTTGATTACAATAATAGATTAAAAAGTAAGAAAGTAAATTCAATGTACAGACAAGAAAATGTAGCTTTTATATATCCAAATAAGAAGGCAAAGTATAAAAGCATGAATATACTAACTCTATAGCCTATCTACAAAAACATAATCTAAGTAGAAAAGAAAATTTTCATAATTGTGTGCCTATCATTGAAGAGAAGTAAAGCTGTAAATGCAATATAAGTCACATTAATATCCCTTTATTTCTATAAATAACAAATAAAGTGCATTGCTATAGTTGAGTTAATTTTTCAAGTAAAATGAGCTTATAATAAAAGATAAAATAAAATAACTGAAAGTACAAAGTTATAATTGGTAGATTTGTCAACAGAACATGTCTTAATTAGACAAAATTTTGAAACTTACAATGATGTAACAAAAAAACTTAAAATGCAATGCTATAACTTTGTTGATTTTTAAAAAGGTAATGTGCTTAGAATAAGAAATCTGAAAGTATAATGCTATAATTGATATATTGTTCAAAGTAAAAAGCTCTGATAAGAAAAAAACTGATAGATTTTTTAAAGTAAAATGCTATAAAGAGTTTCATTTTTAAATGGGACATGTGCTGATTATACAATTGAAAGTACAATGCTATAATAGGAATATTTTTCTAAATAAAATGCCTTTATAAGAAAACAAATCTAAAATTTACAATTTTGTAACAAAAAGAAACTAAAAGATGCATGGCTATATTTGGGTTGATTTTTCAAAAGAAAATGTGCTTATAATAATAAAATTGAAAGTACGATGCTATAATTGGTGTATTTTTTCCATGTAAAATGCCTTGCCATGATAAAATTTGATGGTCTTTTAAAAAAAAAAATGCATGGATAAGAAAAAACTTGAAAGTTACAATGTGTAACAGAAATAAAGGTGAAAAGTGCAATGCTTAATTGGGTTGATGTTTTAAAGAGAAATGTCTTGATAAGAAAAAAATTAAAAAGTTACAACGCAGTATCCGGAAGAAATGAAGCGTTTTGCTATTTACTAAATTTGGCCCATTTTCTTATTGAAGTTCTTTTGGTTTGAAATGCTAATCACTGTATACTAATACACAACAAAAAATACATATAGATGTTTGGTATAACAGAACATATCTGGATTAAGTACTGAAAGTATTCAGCCATTTCTCAGTACACTTGGAGTATAAATAGATTCAGTATCCCCCCCTATAATTGACAAAAATACACATCAAAATATATAGATTTTTAGTAAGCAATCAGGGCTATTTAACAATAGATATAATAGATTCATATGTAGTTTACTTACTTCAGTCGTATGACCTAGGGATGAAATTTAGAACCGGAAAGGAACCGGAATATATAGAACCGGTTCCGGTTTCGGATTTAAAAATTGGCTTTGTCAGGGTTCCGGGTAATCCGAGTTTGGGTCCATCGGGTCCGGGTAAATCGGGTCTAAAAACCGAAACCGGTGTTTGGAACCGGAACCACTCTTAGGGTCGGAACCGGTTTTTGTGAAACGCTTAAAAGATGCATATCTCATTCGTTTCAACTCCGATTGACATACATTTTTTTCCAACGTGTAGTTTAGAGTTTGTACATGATTTTAGATTATAAATTTTCCATTTTTAGTTTTATATTCATTGACTCACAGTCCTCTAAAGTCGAGATATCAAAGTTGAAAGTTTTTAGTTTTTCATTTTTTTTGTATTCTGTGAAAGTTTTAAAACATGCATATCTAATTCGTTTGAAGTCGGATTGACATGTTGTTTTTTCCAACTTGTAGTTTATAGTTTTTACATGAGTTTAGACTATAATTTTGTCATTTTTGGTTTAATATTCAATGATTTACAGTCCCCCGAAGTCGGGATATCAAAACTGAAAATTTTCAACTTTTCAGCTATTTGTTTTTGTACTTTGTATTCTGTGAAAATGTTAACACATGCATATCTCATTCGTTTACAGTTGAATTAACATGTGGTTTTTTCCAGAGTGTAGTTTAGAGTTTGTACATGATTTTAGATTATAATTTTCTCAATTTTGGTTTCATATTCAATGAGTTACAGTCCTTCAAAGTCGGGATATCAATATGAAAATTTTCAAAGTTCAACCCACTAAATAGTAAGTAATTACCAAAAAATTTAGGTTTTTGCCGGGTTTTCCGGTTTTAAACCCACTTTATCCGGTTCCAACCTACCCACTTTGATGTTTCCGGGTTTTTCGGTTCTAGACCCACTTTACCCGGTACCGTACCCGGAACTGAACCGGAACCGGTTCCTCTATACCGGTCCAGTTTCTGGTTCTACAAAATTCCGTTAACCGGTTCCGGGTTTTCCGGGTCCGGGTCTATCCGGTCCGGGTTTGGACCCACTTTCATCCCTAGTATGACCCAAGAACCTCGTTGCTTGGATGGTCCTACCAAGGGTAATATCATCAACATAACGACATTCAGACCCACTGAATCAACAATAAGGATGTAAAAGCATTAAATTCATCAGAATACAATAATTAAATCAGTATCATATATACGAAAATAATAATTCACAAATAAATCAAAACTCAAAAGTCCAAAATTGCATGTACAGAAGAATTAAGCTTATTACATAGATAACCATTGATTTCCTTCTTAATATGTGAAATAAATCACGTTGAAGCCTTGTACACATCACCTACTTTCTAGATTTTCACCGGCCTATCCCAAAAAGTTGAAACGATAAATAATCTCTTAGGACAAAATCGAATAGTGGCAATTTTTTGGGTCTTTCAGACTAAATATAGGAAATAAGACTCTGTTTGAATCAATTCATCAAGTAGTTGGTGTGCATCACCAAACATGCTTTTAAATATCATCATAGAGGGGACCTCGTCAAAATAAGAAATCATTATTAATCAATATGCAAAAACAACTTTAAAATCGGATTCAACAATCAATCCTGGAAATCAATCAGATGGAAGAAGGAATCAACAGTGGTATAAAATACTTGAGGCCAATTTGTAAGTGTGGATATTCGTTGTTAGTACCCCATTAGAAACACTGAAATAACCCCTAATTGCTACATCCATGATTTTGAATCGAAATTTCAGAAAAAGGGGGAAAACGGATGATGGTAAACACAATTGAAATCGAAATAACTGGTGATAGCTACGGAAAGATGATAAAAATACCTAAATGTGAATAGACAAAGTTATCAGGTTCTTTTGCACCGGCGACAAAGCCCCACAACTACTTCCTCGCTTCGCAAATCGCTAATCGATGATGGTGGGAAATCGTTGTGGATTTGCTGCTCATAAGCCCGATAAAGTACCCTTGATGAGGTACTGGAGTCGGTAGAAACATCGACGGTGGAGGCGAGAGAGGATGATGGTGAAGTGGTAGCTGGAAGTGGTAGCCCGCATACGCATCACCCTCTACAATTAATGGAAAATCGAAGCAAATAGCGGTCGGTGGCGATGGCGGTGGCGTCTGTGTTCGTGAGATGTCGGAGGTGGAAAGCTTTTTGGGACAATGAAACCGACAACCTGTGTATATGCGCAGATGTAACTGAGGGGATAAAAGGCGATGGTGAATTTAGCCCAGGCAAAGCGGTGGAAACAAACTAAAAAACCTGATTGAACAGGTGGGAGGTGGAGTCGGTGCAAATTACAAAAAAAAACAATATAAAAAAACCCACCAATAAGAACAGAGTATTGTTCATTAAGAAGGTTCTAAATTAATATATATATATATATATATATATATATATATATATATATATATAATCCAAGTTGTTGCATCTTGAGTGGACTATATGAAAACTAGGATAAAACAAATAAATTTTATATAGCTGCTACATAAAAAAATAACAAAGTTAAATGAAGCAGTGAAACTATGTTTAAATCACTTGGCTAATAAGGTAGATATAATAATAATTATTGAAATAAGTAACATTTTAAAAATAATAGTAATAGAATAATATTAAAAAAGAAAACAAAAAATAATGACTAATTACACTTTTTAAGTATATTTTTTTTTGGAAAATAATGTAACATTAATAACTAAAAAGTAATTGACTTTGACCAAGAGTGTCCATATGGTTTCTATATAGGAGCACCTATATTAATAAAAAAATAGTTATTAGTGTTCCTTGTCATTTTTTTATAATTTACGTTTTCTTTTTAAATGCTCTATGCAAATGTACTTGACATTTTCTCACCATTTTTTTTAAAAGTAATGATGTTGATAATAAGTTAGACAATTATTTATTTGATCCCTGATTTTTAAAAGAAATTTAAATTCTTTTAGAATAAGATTTGGTTATGATCGCCGATAATTGATTGTATTTCTATATTGAAAATCATACAAAGTCATGTTTAATTAATAATTTATTGAAAATAATTAATTAATAATTATAAGTTTTTACTATAAAAATTTAATTATTTTTGTAACCGTGGTTTGCAGAGGCTATAAGCTTGTTCTTATATAAATGTATTCTAAAAAGTAAAAGGGCCTATGACTTGATTTTCCCATCTCTAGTTGTGGTCTTCTCAAAAATTAGATTTCCCATGTATAATAAGTTATGTTTGTATAGACAATAAATAATTACAACATAAGCCCTTTTCTACAAGTTCCATTGCATTAATTGTCACATTATCAAATTCATCAAAACAGTTGTTTGAGCCGATAAACCTGCTCTTTTAGGTTCCATTAATTCCTATAAAATGGTTATAAAGCATCAAATTAAGCAAGGATTGAGATTGTAAGAGAAAGGTTTTAGGGGCATGTGATCAAAAACTCGGTATTCAAAAGTAGAAGCAAGTAATGAAGATATACCGTGTCTTGATGAAATTCTTCACAAAAGCGTCTTCTTAAACTAATTAGATCCTCCCCCAATTCACCAGCTTGAGCAATTATCTACATAATTAGAAAACTACACATATATTTGTAACAAACATGAAGATTTTAGCTCTATATGCATTCATAAAGATACGATTAATAACTTCACTCACCTTAACATCAACATCAGTAAGATTTCAAACATAGTTGACTTCATATCGCTTGAACTGTAGGGATATGCCTAAGTGTCAAGAAAAGTAAACGGAAATTCACATGATTGGTAATAGCCAAATGAAGAAACAAACCACACTCATCACCACTAAGATACAAAGAATCTCTAGTACAATCCACCCTTCACCATGCCAAAAGAAAAATTAAACAGAAGAAGTTTTAGTATAAGCAAATTGTTTTTGAAGCCAAAAAACAAAAATCTATCATTTAGATTTTAGATTAAGTCCCAATTACTGAATTAACATATCCACTCTTAAGACAAAATTCAATTGAGAAAGCCACATATCACCTTTGTTTCTCATCCATCATAGAAGCACCACCTGGGCCAACACCAGCCAACCCACCCAACAACCTGAAAGTATTAGTGGTTATTCATTAGAAAGGAAACAAACCATATTGAGCAATAAGATAATGAAAATAGAACCAAAAAAGGTATATATATATATATATATATATATATATATATATATATCTATATATATATATATATATATATATATATATATATGACATTGATCGATATCCCTGTAAAACAATGTGTTACAAAAATGAACTACTCAATTTTAAATAAATGCAATAATGCTCTAAAAGTCACTAACATGAAACTTATCTGTTCCTAACATCAAATGTGATTCTTTTAAATCGTATATGATCACAAACAACACACATGCACACACAAACACACCCAAATCTATATTCAAATTTCCATAATTGACATGTTAAATGAGATTTAGTAAACAAATCATAAAAATGGGCATTAAGTCATCAAATGGTGAAGTTGTAATACCTCGTTATCATCTATATTGCCATAAATTTACCTTCTTATGCATGTCAGTTGTATCAGCAACCTGTTCAAAAACATAAAAAAGACCAACACAATTGCTCAACAAGTAACAAATTAAGAAACTAGTATCATTACATGACCAAGCTCTAATCCTAAGCTCAAAATCTTCAAATCCAACCTTAGAACACCTAAATCGGAGAACATTGAGAGAGGTTATGATATATAAGATGTATCTCATGTTGCCCAATTCAATTGGTTGAAATCGTAAAATATTGTTTCAACTTTACTCAATTCACATTCAAATAAAAAAATCTTATAATTGAGAAATCAAAACTTCTACCATGAAAATACCAAAATCAGCAGGTGATTGACGTATGGCATAAAGAAGTAAGAAAATATTGTATGTGTGATTGACGTAGCATTTACTTGTGGCAACGAGTTGTGTTGATGGTGTTTGTTTCTGTTCGTGGTGCTCCTTGGTGGTAGAAATGATGGTTTAGGGATTTTCTTCAGGGAGAGGCATAGAAGGTGGTGAGTGGTGGTGGTAGTAATAATCAAGGTTTTTGGAGGGGGCGTGTAATACTGGTGCGGTGGTGAGTAATTTATGGTCGTAGTGGTGGTGGTGACCGGTATGATAACATGATGCTATCGGTGTGATGCGGCTAATTAGGTGTAGAGAGAATGAAGAGATGGAAGTGATGAAAGGGGATGAGGAGATGGAAGAAGGTCAGAGGTAGTAGCTGATGGATGCATGCGGAGAAGAAGGAACGATTCTGTAGCATAGGAAGGGTTTTGATAATATAGGTTTGAAAATGACAAATTCAACTTTTGTTAAAGAAATTGGGGAAGGATGGACAGATCTCAGGATTCAATGCAAACTTAATCAAATTAGGGTTTAAAGGAAGTTGGGTCAAAAACTTGTGCAAGACAATAGGTATGTATGTATTAAGAGATTGTAGATGCCGATAAATGGGGAAAAGATAATGAAGGAGGTTTAAAAAAGTATGCATTAGATAGTTGTAATTTGTATTTTATATATTTGACGATTTAATTTTTTTAGTAATAGTATAAAATTTTAATATTATTTTATTGATGATTATTTATACTATTTAGATTATTCCTATTCACAACTCAACCCAACCCAACCCAAACCAAATATATATTAAATAACTAATTTCTCTCTCTTCCACCTATACAATCCAACTAGGACTGTAAACGAACAAAATGAACAAGATCAAGAGATGGGTCCTGTTCGTTCGTTTAAGTTTGCCGAACAAACGAACCAACACGAACGGGTAAACGAACAAATTTTCTTGTTCATGTTCGTTCGTTTAACAATTTACATTGTTCATGTTCGTTCATTTATGTTCATGAACATGTTAAATGAACATAAACGAACCGAGATAAGATACATAACTGAATATATATATTAACATAAATAAACATATAATATACTAATGTATTCAAACACATTTGAACATATATGAATATAAAAAGAACTTAAATGAACGAAGATAAACGAACGTAAACAAACAAAATAAACGAACGTTCACGAACATAATTGAACGAACAAGACCATTATTCATGTTCGTTCGTTTAACTAAACGAACGATGATTTGTGTTAATGTTCTTTTATTTATTAAATAAACGAACATAAACGAACTTCCTACCGAACAGTTCACGAACAGTTCGTTGAACGTTCAGTTTGTTTAGGGTTTACAGTCCTAAATCCAACTAAACACAAACTTTCAATCCTATTAACAACCTAACCTAAATCATTTTTTTATTAAACAATTATAATTTGTTATTCTTTTCTTATATAAAAAAATTATTCAGTTTATTTAAAAAATCCAAAACAACTTAATTATTTATTTAAAAAACAAAAATTATTAATGTTTTTGTGGAGAAAAGTTCTCAGCCTCATTTCCACTTTATGATTATTCTAATAATAAATGCAAACCAAACTTTATATACGTCACCAATGGCACTAGTCTTAGCTTGATAATTTAGATGTTTTAAAAATAATATTATTATATTTAATATATTTTTACAAAGATAAGATTTATATAATTATATATACCATATATAATTGAGTGATGGCTTAATAATTGGTGAAGACCGTGATTAAACATCATTGCCGTTTATTTGTGAGATTGGACGGTTAGAATTTAATGTGTAAAGTATCATACTATACTTATAAATGAAACATTTTTCCTTTCACAACATCAATTTGAAACTCTCAATTTTTTATATTTCTATATAATATATTTTCTAACTTAAATATGTTATTAACTATAAATATTATCATAAATGAAAGACTTTTTGAATTATCAATAACTTCAATATAGTGTTAAATACATAACCTAAATTAATATATCAAACAAACTTAAAAATATAGTGTAAAATTTAAAAACTAAAGTAAAATATCAAATAAAGTTTTAAAAATACTCAATGTATATTTTTTACAATAGTTAAAAGGAAAATATTAAATACAATAAACGTAAAAAAATATAAATCTAAAAGTAAAATTAGCTAAAAGATCTCCAAAAACTATTTTTTATAATTACTGAAATTCAGTTAAGTTTTTTAAATTAATTTATAATAATAATAGTTAAAATAATATAAAGTTATAAATTAAATTATGTTACATCACAACAATGATTGATAGTTTACATAATCACCATGATAAAATTAAAATGTCGTCAATTTTTTTAAAGTTAATAAATCATAACATTAGTTAATTAAAATAGATAAGAAAATATAACTACTTTAATATACACGTAAAGCGTGAGTAGATATCATTAAATGATTCTATTTTAGTAAGTGTTATATTATCTATTGTTCAAATTAATTATAATGTTATATTAACTTTAAATGTCTAGATGGAATAATAAATATTTTTTAGTTAATATAAATGACATAAATATTTTCAATGAAATATGATTACTAAAAGGTTAACTAAATAATTTTATTTCGCGCAACGCGAGGATATTCGTCTAGTACATACATAAGGGTATGAATGTAATTGCAGCTAAGAGAAAACCCGAAAGATGCGCCTCTACTCTTACCACGCCTTTCACATGCCCCTCTTTGCGACACTTGTCGTGTTATGATTACCTAAGTCTTTGTTTTTTTTCCATCCGATTTGTTTTTTGGTCAAGTTTTTTTGTTCTTTTGAATAAAAATGTGAAAAAACTAATGTTCTTAAAATTTAATTTTCTAAAAAATCAGTACAGTCATGAAAATGTGAAATAAAAAAAATATATTTTTTATTTTTTATTTTAAAAAAACATCTCTCCAAAGATCATGAAAATTTAATGAATACTTCAACTCACTATAGTATTGGCTTTGTAAAAAGAATTTAAAAATAAGTTTTTGAAGTGTACGGATGAGGAGGGAACTCATATCTCTTGGAACGATAAGAGATAGAAAGAAAAGTGCGGAACAAAAGAAAATGCATTTTTGTCCAATTACCATTAGTCGAATACAAGCATAGTGCATCTTGTTTTGTCGTATACTACTTAACAAATCGGTCCTAAGTAAATTTGTTATCTAGAGGAAGAAGCCACTCGAGATGGTTTGGAAACTGATTTTCATCAAGTCTGAACCACTTTAAACTGGGGCACAATTTTTATTATCCATACATTCTTTATTTTTGGCCTTATGAATTTTATTGTGAAATATGTAGTTCGTTATATTGTATTTACACGTTCAACAACATAACCAACACAGATAAAAATTCTTTAAAAAACATATTTATCTATTTTAGGTTTTCACCTAAGATATGGAAAATACTTTATGTAATGTTATGTGGCAAAGTTGATCAATGTAAGCTAATAATTAACCATACTTGGAAATGTTATAGGATTTAGTAGTTGAACAACTTAGTCTTGCACCATGCATAATCTATATGAGATTTTCAAATGCACATTCAATCAAATACAAATTTTATAAATTAGGTGGTGAAATTTTATAGCTAAGTTGGACATGAAAGATGTCGTGCACAATGGTTAAATTATTTGAAATTAATACAACATGAGAGCCTTAAAGAGAACCAACAAAGAAGATTAAAAATTAAGGTTGGAAACAAACTATAGTTTATTACCTCTCGATTGGTGGTAAAATCACATGCAACTGTTGTAGTCTTGACCAAAAACACCAAAACAAAGAAATCAAAACTCAAAACATGTCATTTTCTTCATTCATCATATACCGAAAAAGGAACCGTGAGAACCTGAAAAGAACCAAGCTATGAAAGAGTTATGTGGAATTACAGTGACAACGAAATGTAATTTTTCTCAATAATAAAAGTAGATAAACCGAAATAAATCTCATGGGACACATATTCTTGATATTGAACAACCTGAAAAAATAAGCTTTCATTTTTTTATGGGAGAGAGAGAGAGAGAGAGAGATCAAAGTGAGAAAAAGAGATCCTTATTCTTGAGGAGCTTGAACCGACCGACCCAACAAAAAGTTGGATGGATAAACGACACTTAATAGCTCTCCAATAATATTTTGGAGAAGATAATAGATAATATCCATTGTTTTAATCCTTTGTAGTTTATTAAAAATCCACTTCAAGTTTTTTATAAAATTCATTTAAAAGAAGAGAATATGCCCACCATATAAAAATTTAATATATTTACAGATAAATAGAAATTCAAGAATACAAATGCATAATTTTTTCATGTCAAAACCTTAAAAATATGCATAGATATATGGAAAATCATGAATAAAAAGAATGCTTAGTCATGATAGAAACAATTAATAGAAAATCAAGGATATAGAGACCCACCAATATGTGATAATCCCATCACTAAAACCAAAAACACCATTCGAAATCTACAAGAAATCTTTCCTATGAAGTATCGATTTCAAAGATGAATAAAGAAAGAAAAATAAACTAAAAGATTAAAACTGAAATTGAAATATGTTAAAAGAACGTGGAATCGTGAAGTGTGGTGAATCAAATGACAAGAATGTGAAACAATAACATATCTCAGCTTTTTTACTTTTTAGTCCAATTCTACAATTTTGATGGTTGACTTTTTAATATAATTTTATATCTATGTTAAAAAGAAACAAATTTTAATTGATATTTCACTCCTTAAATATTTTCGTTGATCATTCTTTACCATAATTATTTTTGTTCATAAAAAGATGAGTGATTTGTGCATAACAAATTTATACATTAAGTTATCAAACATGTACCTCTTAAATTTCAAGAAAAGATCAATATGCTTTATGATATAGTTAATATATATATATATATATATATATATATATATATATATATATACACACAATTAACATTTCCCAAAAATTATTAAAATCTCGTAATTAATTACGAAAATGCCATATCATCTCCCGAGATTTTGACGATGAATAAAATCAAATATTGACAATTTATTTTTTCAATTTTAAAGTTAAAAATTTTCTCACGGTTCCTATCATTTTTTGAGCTTCTACCTGATCCTACTTCTCTCTCTCTCTCTCTCTCTCTCTCTCCATATATATATATATATATATATATATATATATATATATATATATATATATATATATATATATATATATGGTCCAGTGATTGTGATGACTCATTTTAAAATGAGAAACTCGTGAGGACAACTTAAAAAAATTGAAAGAAAATCTAAAAAAAATACAAATCATAAAATGGAGTAAAGACCTATGTCTCGGAGACAAAAATTTGAAATTTTTTTGCATCATTAAAATTGACCAATGATTAAATTTTAATTTTTAATTTCGCATCATTATGATCCATGATTCAATAATGATCCAAATATAATTTTTTCCAATTTTTTTCTCCCGGACATAGATCTATGCTCGATTTTATGATTTGTATTTTTTTTAGATTTTTTTAAGGTGTCTTCACGAGTTCTCACTTTAAAATGAGTCCTCACCCGATCTTTTATATATATATATATATATATATATATAT